CATTTGTTACCCACAGCTCATTCCAAACAAGTGGCCAAATAATCATTTGTTCTTACACTGTGTGCTAACACAGGATCCATCACCACCATCAACCAGCAGTGAAACTCCAGGTATTTAATACAAATTCAGAAATTTCACACAAGGCTCTGCTCCACCACAGCTTTACCAACAGCAAATAAGGCTGAGTTTTCAACAAAGACAAGAAGCAAAGCAGATGAGACTCTGGGAGTTCTACAACAGAAAGGAAAACAGCTCAGGTTTTGGGAGCAGACACTCAAGTTTATTCCCTTCCACAGGATTTAAGTATCCAAGACAAATTCTCAGCAAAGTGCACAGCATCAGGGGAATAAAATACTCCTCTATATATTTAAAGCCTACTTTGTGCTTTCAAAAGCACTTGCAGAAAGAGCTTCCTTTTTCTCACCAACCTTTCAGCCCCTCTTCACATGATGTGTGAAATGCATTCTTTCCAGGAAAACAAAATGAGACTGGAAGGAATAAAATTGGTGAGTATTTATGAGCAGGTATGGCACTTAGCTTGACACAGTTTGAATTTTTTTTAGATGACTTCTTAAAGTGATAACTTTTACAGTGAAATAATAATGTAGTGCTGATCAGGAAGCTCATTACAACCTAGATCAAGGGATTATACTTTGAATTGTCAATCTGGAAAAACAGATGATTTTTTTTCTAATCTACTCTTATCACTGAAGCATATTTATCCCATTTACAATCTTATTACTCACCTGGAATTTAAGGATACTTTAATTCATGAGATATACCTTAAGAACTATTTTTTAGATCTATAAAGCTAGAGAGCCAGTCAGCATGATGTTCCAAAGCAGCAAATTTGAACCATTAAAATGATAATATAATCAAAGGCACTACACATTATACTTACTAGGAAAGATTAATGTTTGAGATACTTCAGCTATTCCATCATAACAGTGGCAAAATGGGAGATCCACTTTTAAAATCCACATTATTTCTGAAACTAAGTAATTTGTGACTGTAAATAGGACATTTTCTAAATGGGCTGAAGAGCAATACATTTTCCACAGAGCTTTCAGAAACTTAACAAGAAAAATCCCGCTGGTCAATGGTTCAATCCAATGTGTGCTTTTTCAAACATCTTATTTCTTTTCCATTTGCATAAATTCCACCCTTGAAATGCCATTGCAACTGATTATTCCTTATTTAAATTTACTTTGGAAATTAAACTCAAGGGGAATTATCTAAAGTATGTCAGACTGAAAATGAGCTGCGAATCTCCAAAGTTAATTTTAGCCTCGTGTGTTAAGGAAGATTCAAGTTCTTAACTGTCTTTTAATATTAAGAACCACTTATTCAGCAAAGTCCCTGTATTACTTTAAATGTAAACCTCTTTAAGCTAATAGAAAATAAAAAAGGAATCTGTAATCTTTGGAAGTTTTCTAAAAGCAGCTTCTCAGTTTTTCTTCAGTATATTTAACCTTGGTAACTTGACAAGTGAGTCTAAGTAAACAGCCATTTTTCCACATTTCAGCTGCTTCCAGCATTACGTAAACTCTGCACAGGAGGAGAAGTGAGATTCTATTCAGTCTCCTGAACAGCTGTGCAAGCTGCTGCTCTGGGTGCTTTTTCAAATACATATCCACTAACACACAGAGATTCCAAGAGGTTAATTATAACAGATATTCCACAGAGCAGCCAAAAATCATCATGTCAGCTTCGGAAACTATTTGGTGAAATCATCTGGCCTGGGTTAGGTGTGTCAGACTAAAGTGTGGTAATTTCTAGCCTACGATTCTAGAATCTTTTCAAGTTGAGGAAATAGTTTCATTAAAAGATTTGCATCTTAAACATTATCTGGAACCACACAATTTGCCAGTAGAAGGAAATCTTCAAGGGAAGTAGCTTGTATTAGATTTTACACAGCTGGACTTGAATGATGAGGGAAGGTTGGAAGCTTTGAAGCAATGGATGTTCCCACACCCTCCCAGCCTCAGCCTCACCAATTCCCAGTTGGGAGATAAGGGGTCATGCCTTAAGGATATTGTCATATATAGAGATATATTAGGGCTCAACCCGTGAGTTTTGGATTTCAGTGGAGGAAGCATAACAGAGAAACTTATTTCCAACATCAATTTAACTCAGGAAAAGAATTTTGACTCTTGTCTATTTTAGAAATCATTATATCATAATTGCCTGCAAAACACTTTTGCCTTGACAAACTTGGCTTAGATCAAAGTGGTATTAAATCCAGTGTTTGTCTTAATATAGAGCTGCAGTCACCCTTCCCAGAGAACAAAGTTCCCTGGGAACACACTAGAGCTGCATGAATGGAATGCTGATTGTGCTCCATTCTCCCTCAAGTACCTCTTGGAAACCCAGGAAGGGGAAAGTGGAAAATCGGAAGTTTGCACTGTAAATTACTCGCTCAGCAAGTGGCATTCACTCAGTGGCTTCTAAAAAAGAAAAATTAATGCTGATTTCTTGATCTGAAGGCTAAATATTAGTTTGACTTAATGAGTTCTAATTTGCAATTGCAACACACATCATCCAGGGAACCTTCCCAGTGCACATGGGTTTCATTGACACTGGTGAATTTCCTCACTACTCCAGAGAGAGAATTACCTCTGGAGTTCCACAGAATGCCCAGGGAAGGGAGGACAACTGGCCAAACAGAATTTTTAACAGTACTCAGCACCTGAACACAAAGATGAGATCTCACACAAGAGCCAGGCTAGAAACTGATTTTTTAAGACAACTCATCACACAGAACCCTGCTGCCACACTGACCAAAGTTTTCTCGAGAGATTTTTTTTTATGACAGATCTCTGGGTGTGGGTTTAAATCTCTGTTTGAGAACACATTCTCTCAAGGGCTGCGTGCAAATAAAAAGAGAGGAACAGAGGAAAATCAAACAACACATAAGTCATTTATTGGGTGATTTAAATTCAAGCTTTGTATACAGCAGGCAGTTCCTCCTTTCAGAAGAGCTGCTGGCACTGTTAAAATAACATTATAGCACTTTTTTTTTGTTGAGAATATGCAACGTAGTGCTTCCACTTTACTGAGCACAGAATTTGATACAAGTATTCCTTCCAGAAATACTTCATCAACTTATGCAACCACTGTTCAACCAAGGAGAAACAGTAACAAAACAGGAACAAAAAGCATCAAGCTTGTATATACTGTTTATATTCCTCACAGAATTTGGCTCATGGACTCCTCTACACACTTCAGAAAATGCATGGACAGTTTTGATGGATCACCAGCAGGAATTTTACAAGTTTTAAAAATCAGTAACAGCAGCAACATGGCAGGGGGAGGATGTTCATCCAGCACTCACATTCTGAACAAGTACAAGTGATAACCCACTGCTCTGACACAGACTAAATAAACCAGATGTATTATTGCTCAGCTAAACTTCCAGTCTCAGAAAGGATACTGTCTGGCTGTTTCTTTTTACAAGTATTCTTCTCTTCTTAGTTCACTTTTAATTTTTAACTATTATTTTATCCTAGTTGCATACCTACTATAGCCTCTTGCTTTCTAAAGAAAAGCTTTAATGTAAGGGAAGACTTTATATCTGTTAAATATTATTCTTCAGATATTATCCCCAAGACACAGAAAAGTTTGAGACCTCTCAGTTAATACTAATAGTCAGAAGTGTTTCTAATTACACCCAGCAAAGTGTTGTGGACAATTCTGATGTCAGCATTTTCACTCAAAATATCCTTGAAGAAATAACCCAGGGGAAGAATTTTTGCCTTCAATTCAGCAGCAAGGTAAAGACTCATCAGTTTAGCAAACAGCCAGGGAATTTCATTTAAGAAATTAATTTTGGCTCATTGATCTACTGCAGGCTAAAGTCACAGACACTATCAAATTTCACGGAGAGCCCACCTGAAGCCCAGCTGTCAGAGTTACTGAACTCATAAAAGACCTTACACATATCACAGTTGGCTTCTTCACTGCTCAGCAAAATAACTTTCTGCCTTGAAGAGTCTGCAAGAGCAAGACCGACATTTGTAACACTGGAGGCAGCCTTAGGAATAAGATAAAAAGAAATGCAAGTATTCCCTGCAGAGTGATCTAATCCTTTTTTGCCCTGTGACTGCAAAGGATCACTTCTGTAAGGAACCCTGCACTCCAAACCATGTGATCTATCTAAATATTTACACTATGAGCATTATTAAAACTCTCCTCCAAAGCCATTAAACACAGTATTTTCAGCAAGCAAAATCAAACAATTATTATTTAGATTAAGGTTCACTTTTAACTGTTTTTATCAGTGAAAAGCTCCTTAATTGCTCTTTGAAACTCATAAGAGCCCCACATCTGTGGTTTCAACTGAATATACTTGAAAATGTCAAATACCTACTTCCACTCTGTTTTCTAAAAGGAGAGAAAAGGGAGGGAGAGAAGGGAGAGAAATAAAAAGGGGAACCTAATTAAATTCCTTACTTTTCATTACTGTTTGTACCACAATCACACCAATTAGCAACATGCACCCAAAAGGCTTTTTGTTCATCTCTCTGGCCTCCCTACCAAGCTTTTTCTTCTCTTCCCTCAAAATGTTCCCATTGTCCATTCTCCCTTTTCATTCAGGCATATCCTTGCTTTCACGGCTTTCTCTGTGCCCTCTAATCCTGTAAATTTTACCCTGATGAAGACATAACCATAAGAATGTTTTAATCAGTGTACATGACATTTCCTCCTATTCTAAAGGAGTCTGCCCCCAGTAATCAACTTCCAGTACACTTCAATCTTACTTTTGCTCTAACTTTCAAATACATCTGTAAACACTATCGAAACTTTGGCAGAAAAGGAGAGCACATTATATTAAGAAAATATTCAGGGCAGAGAAGAAACCATTGAACACACAGCTCTCATAGCTCACATTTTGTTTTCAGCTTTGTATGTTCTACAGTATCTAACAAACAAAGCCCAGCAAGTACTCAGCAACACAAGGAACTCTCAAGAAGGAAATTACAGCAAAAATTAATACTTACAGCCATAATTAACTCAAAAGGGTGTTTATACACCCGTACGGGGGACTGGTACTTCTGCACCATGGCTGCAGTTTAGTGAGACCAACTCAAACCTGAAAAAGAAATTTTTAAAACCATCTGTCAGACGTAGGAAGCCATTTTCAATTTTCTCTTACAATTAGTCTGTGCGTGGTACCACGTTAGCAATTCCACAGGAAATCCTTCACAATTCCCTGACAACCTTTTTAAAGGCCCAACAGGGGCCCTGAAAAGCTATATATATATTTCTGTCAGAAATGACTTATCATTTCTTCCAAAGACTACATAAAATTAGCACATTTTAGTCCACTTTTAGTAACAAATCTTCAACATATTTTATGACTCTTTGTCAGGATGGTGACATTTCCTGTGCTGCTGCTGCTGAGAACTAAACACTGACACATCCCAGCTACAGGCAGAAAAGCATTTCCCAGTCCCCCAGCACAGTATGTGGGCTGCCCTGCTCAGAGCAGGGACTGGGAGGGGAAAAAAACCAAGAAAGAAACACAGAAAGCACAAACAGAGGTCAAAAAAGTAAGTGTTAAAAATGCTTGTTTGCAGAAAGAAGGAAAAAATAGATTACTAAAGCACACTGATGGATCAAAGGCGTTCCTTGATCATCTCCAAAAAAATTGAAACTTTTGAGAGAGAAACTTATGAGATAGTTGGAGAAATAAACTTCGAGAAAAATTCCACTACGCGGCCAGGAAAGATTCACTGGCAACGCGGAGAGGAATTACTCAAAGGCTTCGTGCCTGCTTCTACCCAGCAAAGTGCTTGACCCGAACTCTCTCGACTGCAATTACGTTTATTGAAAAATCCTGGCAGTAGCACGGGCATATGAACGGCGGGCTGCGAGCCAGCCTCATTTCAGCGAGAGATGGGTTCGCTACAGCAAGTTCGCTTCACTTCTCCGTCCGTCAGGGGCTCCAGCCCCGCAGCTCGGCCGGAGCCAAGAACAACCCCCCGAGCCACAGGAAAGTTCTCCGACATCCCAGCCCTGAGAAGAATTTACCCATGACTGCCCCGCTTGTTTTAAAAAAAATAACAAACCCACCTGAATCAGCACAAAGCCTCTCTAATCCCTAGACAAAACGAGTTACACAACAAAGAAACTCCGCGTTCCTCTCGCCGCGGCGGAACAGGGACACCCCGGGAGGGGACGGGACGTGGGGACACCTGTGACAGCCCCGAGCTCTCCCGCAGGGACCCGGGACAGCCCGCGAGGGGACGGGACACCTGTGACAGCCCTACAGCGACCGGGACACCCCGCCAGGGGAAGGAAGGGACACCTGTGACAGCTCCGCGCTGCTCCGGAGGGATCCGGGACGCTCCGGGAAGGGACAGGATGGAGGGACAGCGGTGACAGCCCCGCACTGCCCCGGAGGGTTCCGGGACACTCCGGGAGGGGACGGGACACCTGTGACAGCCCCGCGCTGCCCCGGAGGGACCCGGCCACAGCCGCCTGCCCGGGGCGGCCGGAGCGCAGCGGCCGCGGCGCCGCCGTGACCCGCCCGAGGACCGCGACCCCCGCCCCACCATCATCATCATCATCATCATCACCACCACCCGCCCCCGTCCGCTACGGGCAGCGCCGACCGCTCCGCGAGGCTCCCCGGCGGGCAGCGGGCGGACAATGGGAAAGTTGCCGCGGGGCAGGGCGGCGGGGCTGGGGGGACGCGGGGCGCGGGCGGGAGCCCGGGAGGCTCGGCGCCGTCCTTACCGCTCGGAGCCGGCCGCGCTCTCCCCTCATGCCGCCGGGGCAGCGCCGTCCTGCGCGGGAGGGGCGCGCGTCGCCGCCCGTCGTTCGCGGTGCCGGGCGGGGGCGGGCCCGCGCCTGCGCGCTGCGGGCGCCGGGGAAGGGCGGGGCGCATGCGCTGTGGGCGGTGCGGGGAGCGCGGCGGCCGTGAGGGGAGAGGCGGCGGTGCCGTGGTGGAATGGCTGGGGTGGGAGAGAATCCTAAAGGTTTCATCCAGTGTCACCCCCACTCTCCTGCCGTGGGCAGGGACAGCGTACACTAGACCACATTGCTTCGTGCACTTGGCCTTGGACACTTCCAGAATCGCAGCTGCTCCTCACCACCCTCACAAAACATTTCTTCCAAATCTATAATCACAGAATGACGGGATCAGTTAGGATAGAAAAGACCTTTGAGGTCACCGAGTCCAACCTATTACCTGACACCACCTTGCCAATTAGACCATGGCACTAAGTGCCACATCTAGTCTTTGTTCGTAAACACTTCCAGGAATGATGACTAAACAAATCTAAGCCTCCTCTGTGTCAGTGTGAAGCCATCCCCCCTTGTCCTGTCACTACATGCCCTGGTAAATACTCTCCCTCCCACCTTTCTTGTGGGCTGCCTTCAGGAGCAGCGTGAAGCTGAGTCAGGGGAGGTTTAGGTTGGATATGAGAAGTTTTTCACCCAGAGGGTGGCTGAGCACTGGAACAGAGTCCTCAGAGAGGTGATCACAGCACTGAGCCTGTCTGAGACCAAGGAACATTTGGACAATGCTCTCACGTGATGGAATTCTTGGGCTGTCCTGTGCAGGGCCAGGAGTTGGACTCGATGACCCTGGGGGTGCCTTCCAGCTCAGCAGATTCTGTGATTCTGTGATTCTATATTGAAAAGCTGCAATTAGGTCACCCCAAAGTCTTCTCCAGGCTGAACAATCCCAATTCTCCCACAGCCTTTCCTCTTATCAGAACTGCTCCAACCCTTCAATCATCTTGGTTCCTCCTCTGTACCTGCTCCGACAGGTCCATGTCCTGTGCAGGAACCCCAGGGTATTCCAGGTGGGGTCTCACCTGAGCGGAGCAGAGGGGCAGAGTCCCCCTCAAACACAGACAGAGTCATGTACACACACCCTGGGTGCAGGAGGGCATGGACAGCAGGACATGGCACCTTCTGCAGGTATCTCCCATCCCCTCAGCCCCCTGAGCATCTCATGGCCCCACACTCCTCGTGGCTCCCTCAGCACAGGGTTCTGGGGGTCCCCGGGTGGGTTTCAGGCACCGTCAGGGCAAACTCAGCTTAGGGCAATGGCACAGCACAGTGCTCAGGGTCATGGTGCTGTGGGAGCACGGGGAGCCACCTCAGTCACTGCTGGAACATCTTTCTGCCTCTTCTCTGTCTCTGTAATCAGCCAGTGTTCACCCAGCTCGGGGTATTTGCAGTCTGGGATGCCTCAAAGAGCTCTGTCTCACACCTTGTGTGATTTAACTGAGATGTACTAAAAGCAAGAAGTACAATTGTGGTTTTTACAGTCCCAGAGTATCACAAACTGTGTTGAAATAAGGACTTGAAAGTTAGGAACCCGTGTCTCTGCTGCCTTCAGCAGCACTATTGAGACATTTTGTTTACCCACAATATATTTTATTAATGGCTCTCTCCCTCAGAATATAAATCTACCAAAATTCAGAGTCATGTCCTGACATTTTGATGCAATTCTTTCCCTAGGAAAGCTGAATTTGGGGTTACCACTAATGAGGGATTAAGATACCATTCTTTCTTATACAAACCTCGTGTCTTTTAAAGTTAGTCAAGCATAACCTCTTGTCTGATCTGAACTAGTCCTTACAAGAAGTTGTTTAATGTGTTGAGAAATTGTTCCTCTGAATCTCCTTTCTGTTGTGGCACTCGGCCAGTTGCCTTCATGTTGCTGGAGTTAACCGGTTAACTGTAATTAGATTTAGTTATCTGATTGATATCCCATGCCATTATGCCTGCAACGTCCTTTTCCTGCTCTGAAAGCCTGAGATATAATCCTACCAGCATAGCAGGGCGAGCAATTAACGCCCACTCAGATTCCTCTTCGTTCATAACATTTCCCTCTGTACATTCTGGGAAATGTTTTAATTCTTACTGACTGCCTCTATTCTACTTCACCAAATGGCCAGGTGACCAAAGAAAGCTTTATTTGGAGTTTTTTGATAAAGTGGAAAATCCATAATTTAATGTCTAAATCAGCCGTAGTCTCAGCTGTTTTCTGCAGAAACAACAATCTTAGCAAGATAAAGAAGAGGAGAGTAATGTGGGTTTAAATTTTTCTGCTGTTGTTTGTTTTCCTGTTACATCTTCTCTTATGGAAGCTCCAGCCATCCATCATTAGGAGAAATGTAATGTATAAATGTGTGGGTGAAATGTTTCAGGAAAGCTGTGAGGCATGCTGGAGAATGAAGCCCAGAGGACATAGGCTGAAAGTGCAAACTGTTCCACATTTTTTGAAAATTAGGAATATAGCGTGCTGGTTATGAAGGGAAGTTTGGCCTTAGGGAGGTTATGCAAGGTCGGTCACTTCCCTCCATCTGAGCACTTTCCCTGGATTGCATTCCTTCACGTTATGAACTTTAGTTACACAACTCAAAGAAACTGTTATCTTGATTCAGGCAATATTGCCATGGAAATTAATGAGAACTATTGGTAGTCAATCCATTACTATTAATAATAACTAACTGAAAGTGCAGTTGCTTGGGAGTAATGCAGTGCTGATGCATACGAAAAAAGATTCAAAACACCCCTCAGCCGTGCTGGAATGCAGCTCAAGCTCCTGGAATTTCAACAGGCAGGAACTTGCTTTGGTTTCTTTTGTTTGCATCCCAGGCAGTGAAGAAAAGTGAAGTGATCCCGACTTCTTACTGTTCATCAAGTCTCATCTTCAGAGCTCTTGTACTAAAGAGAGGAGATTATCAGCAGTTCACAACAAGAGAGAACGTGTTCACTCAAGGTCTTGCTGCTAAGCCATACATTAATTAAAATATGTGGAAAAGGGATGAGAGTTTGGGTTCAGACACATTAAAATGCTTCAAGAGCTGTTCCGTAACAAATCAGTCCTGTCTGAGTCAGTGGAATTTTTTATGTCCTACTGGCTGCCTTGAAATAAATACCTGCTTCCTAAACCTTTAAAGCCATGGAAATGGTCCCAAATGATAACACTGCCAGCATGATGGAAATAATAACAAGCATGATGAGTGACAAACAGTTAATGGAACAGAGTTGTGCCCTGGGGACATTGATTCTGGTTTTCACAGAGTTTTTATTTAATGCATCACAGGTATTTCACTAGGTGTCACCATTTTTGCTTTCTTTTGTCAGTCTAGGGAGAGACAAACTGGTAAAAGCTGGGTGTGAGGATGAGTGAACTCCTTCACCCCTCTTCTTTGAACAGTAACTGTGTTCAGCCCTCCAGACACAGACTTGAGCATGCCCATCCATTACAGTTGTACATATTTACAGCTCCCTGGACAGCCTGTACTGGGGGAACAGTGGAGGAAAAATTTCTCCATGTATCTCTGGAGATCTTAAAGCCCTTCATAACGGCAGGGAAGACACTAATAATCCCAACAGGCAATATAAATACTGAGGGTCCCAAAATGCCATAGGAAAAGTCACAAAGTAAGTCAGTATGAGAAAGGAGACCAGAGCTCCTCACTTCCTGGGTGGTTCCCTTATTTACAGGAATA